TCTCTCTCTCTCTCTCTCTCTCTCTCTCTCTCTCTCTCTCTCTCTCTCTCTCTCTCTCTCTCTCTTTCTCTTCATCCTCCGATGCAATTCAGGTGATCAAATATCACGCATAAGAGAAAGAATAGGGCCACTTGACAATTTCATCGCGTTCCACTGCAACGATTAGGTACGTGTCGCAAATTGAGAAATTACTCGTGACCTGAAAGGTTACAAGGATGTTAAATTTCAATTTTACGTCGAAAATAGCCAGAAATATTTCTATGTCTAACTATTTAAGTCTATAAGTAAAAATTTAAGATTTCTTGTTCGCTCTTTGCTTCGTTCGTTTTATCAAGTCATTCTGTCAAAGTAAAAAAGAATATGGAATATTTCTTTTTCGATTTCACATTTTAAAGTTGATAAATTCTTTCTACTATAACGTGTTTGTATTCAGTTAGATCGCGCGTGTAATAGTATTTTTTAAAACGTGCGATTGAATCGAAATAAAGAACGGTAGCCTTCCAAAAGAAAAATTCAAAGAGGCCGTCGAACGTCGAGGAGCATACAGTCCCATATGCGCGTTTAAAATAAAAAGGAAAAAGGAGGGAAGCAGCGGGAGGTCGAACCGTCGGCGGAGGAGCCCGACTGAAGAGAGATACGACCGACAAGCCCCTGAGGCCGGGGAAGAGGCGAAGAGGCGAAGAGCCGTCCGAAAACAAACAGACTGCATCACGGAGTCGTTCGTTATTATGCGTCTACGGTATATTAATTATTCCCCGGCTCGGTCCAGCCCGGCATCGATGCGACACGGCCGAGTTATAGGTACTCTCTCCCTTCGCGCATGCATTTCTTTTTTCGTTCCTTCGATATTAGAGTGTTCGAGTGTTGGATCTCACCGGCGAGAATCAGACGTAAACATTTCGATTTTGTTCGATTGTAATGTGACGTTATAATTTAATTTCCACTCGACAAACGAAGTACAATACATTACGTACCTATCCCATAAAGCACCGAAAGTTTTCAGAAATATCTCGGAAATTTTTCAACTGAAAAGTGAAACATTTCATAAAAATTGCAAAATATATCTACAGCATTTCTGAGAGAACTCTGAAAATGTCCGCGATTCTTGCATATGAAACCTTGTTGAAAGGTTGATGAAATGCTACAGAAAAAATCTGTAATCTTTTTGAAATATTATCAAAAAGGTTTCAGCTATTTCTCTAGTACTTAAAAAATGATATTTAAATATATATTGTACTTGATTGATACTTAAATAATACTTAAATTTATTATGTCGATATAATAAATTTAAATTTAAGTATCAATTAAAGTAATTAAACATATATTTAAATATCATTTCTGAAGTACTTATTTATTATTTATTAAGAATTTCGTGATCTTTACAGATTACTTGTTGAAATAAATTTAAAGTATTTCTCAAAAATGGTAATTATACCGCCAATTACCTTGATTAATTAATCATATTACATGTATAAGCACATACATAATTATTATTAAAAAATCACTTACACCTTCCAGTTTCTACATAATACCATTATTTATATATAAAAGTAGTTTTTTCGCAATTAAAGTAGAATAAATCATTCATGTACAAAGTTTTTCGCAATTAAAGTAAAACAACTCACGATAACATTAAAATGACATTAAAATTTCATTTCTGAAAATTTTCCGCAATAATCGCGGTGCTGTATGGGATAGTTTTACGAAATTTTTCCCCTTTGTCCTTCATAACTATACCTCGTCATTACCCATTGCTGTGAGATGGCGAGATGATCATAAACCATCTCTCGAAAAATATCGACAAATACTCGATAATATTATCGTATTCAAATTTATAACGAAAGATAAAATCATAATAAACTAGTGTCGCGAGACGATATTCGAGAGTGCAGAGACTCCGAGCTTTCGCACAAAGAGAAAGCACAACTATATAGACTTGATTTGGACGAGTATCGTTTGTAGGATGGTGATTCGCATGAATATATTTTTCGAAGCTTCGAAGACACCATAAACTTTGAAAATTCGAAGTTAACTTCGAAGCTTGAAATTTTTTCAAAGTCAATCAAAAGTAACAGCTCTAGTTTGTATATACATATAGATATGTGTGTGTGTACATACAATTAAAAGAGTGACGACCCATATATATATATATATATACACGCGACACGTAAGATGTATACCATATCTAAAGTCTAAAGCGTATGTCAGTTCCGACCATTGCATTGCAGTGTCTGCTATGCCGCGCGTAACGATCAAGCTAACGAGTCTCTTCAAATATAAGTATAACTCACGAGAATATTGCGCAACGTCACCTTGCGCAAGAACATAGCAAATTCTCTGTAATGAACCAAATGCATTAGCAAAGGCGCTTTTCTAATTAGCGCTACCGAGCGCGGTCTGCGTAACGGTAATTAGCGTGAGAGTGAGAACAAATCGCGTCTTTGTTTCGCAAGAATAACGATTCGAAAGAAATGCTGTAGCTGCAGGTAGCAAAAATAGCATAGATTTTCTAGATTTTCAAGTTATTTCATCACGACTACTAAAAAGTCGGATTATCTCTAGATAATTAGTAGATATTGACACATCCGCACGTCGGCGCACGTTTCCATCGCGCGTGCAATGTATTCAATATTATGGCATGGCAGCGAGACACCTGTTCGTACTTACGAGCGGAAGAGCTGGTATACGAACCCGCGGGGTTATGCGAAAAGGAAAAAGGGGCGGCCGGTTCATCATCGTGGAAAGGTTTGCGAAAGACGAAAGGAGTGGCTGAAAGTCGAAAGAGCACTGATGACGAAGAGGCCGAAGATGGACCGGTCTGCAGGTCTGTTGGTTCGTCTGCGAGAAGAAGCTCGCGCGCCCAGCGATTCGTGAGAAACTTTCGTCGAGAGTGACGCGTTTCGAATCTCGATGATAAAAATATCGCCTAAAATATCGCATCATTTGTTTGATAATTTTATCGAGGTTTTAGAAAAATTTCAAAATATTAATTTTTCGCAACGCGAAATTATTTGAAAGGAAATGAATCACTTGGACAGCGACCCTGAGCGACGCCTAGGACCGGACGAGTCGAATTGGCTTCCTTCATTATCCGCAGCATTAAATATATGTGAAACAAATATATCGTCAGCTGTCACCCATAGACTTAGAGCTGAAGCGAAAGTTCTCTAAAGCATAATCCTACGTAAGGAATGCTTTTGTCCTTTTGTCGTCACCCAATAATACGTATAAACAAATACCTGCACGAGGATTATCTCGAGTCTCGAGAGTGTGTAACTGCCTAAAATGCATCCGTTTGAAAGGGGAACAACTAAAGTAGTTTCGCTATGCGACGAACGAACCTTCCTTCAGGGCAAGGCGGGGACGCGGGGCGTGGGACGATCCTGTTCGCTCGCGGCTAATTTTCGTTTCACAAAGGTACAGTATCGAAGGTGGTATTTGCGTTGGGACTTGTAACTACCGAGCCGGATTCTATTCAATCATTATGAGGAAGGGAGCTGATGGACTCGCTGGACTTGAGACGATTCGGGAAGCGGGTGAACGCCGCGCCACGTCGCCGAGAGCGGATGGTTACGAGCCCGGGCCGGGCGGTGGGGTGGCAATTAGCAAGAACAATGGAGAGCCGGGGTCCTTGTTCTGGGAAGTAGGCGGAGGGCCTCTCACTCCGGGGGCCCTGCCATTCCATTGGACAGGGGGGCCGCAGGTCCCGCCAGGTACGTGTATCTATAAGGTCCCGAATATACGGTCGAGCATAAGATGGTCGGCTCGGCGCGGGCGCAAGTATATACTGCACGATCCCGGCGTTTCGGCGCTACAAGACAGGCTCTTGATGTTCCCGAGCCTCGGCAACCCGGTGATTAGCCCTACTTAACTCGGATATGCGGACGCGACGCGAGCGGTCCTATCGGCAAGTAAAAGGCATCCTCATCAATTATATGCAATTGCCAAATTGCTCCAAATTACACGCGTTGCTTCTCGAGAAACGCGGGGCCCTTTATGATAATTTTCGTGTTTTTTGCGTTGCGGAGGCAACCTGCGACCATCTTTGGCCATCTTTGCTCGCCGAAAGCGTCCGTCATTACCTCCAGATTCGAGTTAATTAAACTTAAAATTTTAACTCGCCTCACGTCGCG